TTTGTTTGATTTTGGCACAATTCAGTGTCAGCCTCGGCTGTGAGTTTGAAGTCCCAATGTTCCTTAATTATGTTCCTAAGCAGATACTTGACATTCTTTTTAAGGGATTATTAACACACCAGTAAATCCCCCAAATACAAAGTTAGTCATTCACGACACGCCTAATAATAATCCCTCCAAAACAAAACAATAATAAATTGGTCATTTTCAATCTATGGCTGTTTGTGGGACATTGCTGTGCGCAATTGGCTGCTACGTTCGCCCACAAATATACAGTCAATTCACTTTACAGTATATTCTGTGAGGCGGTTTGGGACGTCTAGAAGACGTGAAAAGCGCTATATCAAATGCAAGGATTATTATTACATGGCTATTGGTGGGACATTGCTATGTTCAAATTAATTTGTGAAGTCCTGCATCTTAGTGGCTAGTGAAACGTTGGGCAAGTTTCCTTACTTCACACGCCTCTAGCAGAAAGTAGGAAGCCGGTTGGTAGTTGATTGGTGGTTCACTTTTCCGCGGGTAATAATCCCCTCAACAACAATTATAATATTAGTAATTTGGTCACATAATCCACGATTGCTTGTGGGACACTGCTGTGTGCAATTGGCTGCCGCGTTTCGCCCACAAGATATACAGTAAATTCACTACAGTATATTCTGTGATGCGCTTTGAGATGTCTTGAAGATGTAATAAAGTGCTATACCAAATGCAAGGATTATTATATTATTATTATTATTAGCTGCCGCATTTGGCCACAAAATACAGAGTCACTATACTGTGTATCCAGTGAGGTGTTTTGAGATGTTCTCCCAACGTAAAAGGTGTTATATCAAATACAAGGATTATAAGGTTTTATTCTGATATGTTGGGTAGAGGTTGATTCACAAAGATGAATGATTGCTCCTGGAGTATTGCTTGCTTATATTACCTTTGGGATGAAGGAAGTACATGCATATTGGGTTTAGCTATGTACTGGAATGGGATTCCAATCCCATCAGCGCAACAAAAGTGACCTGTTGTAGTTGGAAACACTAATTCAATACTAGATTTGGTACAGAATTCATCGCAGAACAGAATCATCTAATTTTCTTAATTTCATTTGTTTTGATAGACTTAATGCACAGCACAAGAATTTTGCTGTTTCACACAAAAAAAATCTATAACATCTCCAGCTACTTCAGTGCTTAGACTCTCGTGTAAAGTAGATGGTCATAGATGTTACCAGTTGCATGATGGATGCTGGCTTCATAAAATGAAATAGAAGGTCAAGCCAGTCAGAAAAGACTATTTTTTACATCTGAGGTTACATGGATAGATTTGAGTTGAGAACTAAGCTTGTCCCGAAGTATAAGACACGCTTGAAATGTTTACAATGAAAAAGCCACACAATGTATTCATATTAAGAGACTATTTGAGTAGGAATTGAAATATATCTGTAAGAGGTACAGGCAGAATTATTTCTCAATAACTGCATTGAGCTCTCAAGCTGCTTATTTTTTGCTTTGATGTCTAAAAGCAAGATTTATATTGATGAAAGATGAAAGCTCCAGTCTTTCAGAACTGCATTACAGAAGCAATTTTAAGCTATTCTATTTATACCACGTTCTATTTCTATCATGAATAATGACTTATGTGTGTATATATATATATAACCAAATATCAAATGGATATTTTTGCTGACAAAGTGACACTTATGTTCAGCTATGTTAGTTATTAACAACAACAACAACAACAAGATTCCATTTATAGAGCGCCTTTCACGTCAGGAGGACGTCCCAAGGCGCTGCACAGTTGGGTCATGACCCGAGCAGGGGGGAAATGGTCAGGGTGAGGGGAGGGAAGGGAGGGAGCGAGGAGGAGGAAGAGAGTCGAGAGGGGAGCTGAAGGCTCGGTCAAAGAGAAAGGTTTTGAGACCGGCCTTGAAGGAGGAAAGGGAGGAAGCGGCGAAGGCACTGGGGGATGGAGTTCCAGAGCCTCGGGGCTGAGAGGCTGAAGGCCCGACCACCGATAGTAGGGCGGTTGGGGCGGGGGACGTGGAGCAGACCGGAGCCAGAGGAACGGAGGGTACGGGCAGGTAGGTAGGGGGATAGTAGGTTGGAGAGGTAGGAGGGAGCAAGGCCGTGAATGGCCTTGTAGGTGAGGATGAGGATCTTGAAATCAATCCTCTGGGGGATGGGGAGCCAGTGGAGGCGAGCGAGGGTAGGAGTGATGTGGTCCCGAAGCCTGGTGCGGGACAGTACACGAGCTGCAGAGTTCTGAATTAAAGAAGCGATGCCTAAGAATTGTTATTGATTATAATGCATCTTGAACCGAAACAGTTCAAGACGATGGACACAGAACAGAAAGTGGATTAATGGATTCAAATTAATCTTTCGTTCAAAACGTTTAGTCCTTTGTAATATGATGCAAAACAAACATGACAGAAAAATTAATGAAGAAAGCAAGCTGATGCAAGCTGGTAATTATTTTACATTTGTCAGTTTTAAAGGATGGATAAACAAGACTATTTTAAACACTCAGATGGTATTGGGCATTTTAAGGGGGCAGATGATGCTTAATTTTTTACTCGCTGCCAGTCCGGACTGGGGTAATTACATACCTTATGCACAAGGTCTGTGCATAGTTGAACAGAAGACAACATTTATATAGGAATTAATTTGTGCCATTTGGCGTAAGAACAAGCAGACATTTGTTGGAGTACAAACCTCCCCCAGTTCAAGCATGCAGGAATGATCCTTTGACAAAAGTTTAACATTGGATTGATGAAATAAAGTTCAAGGATTTCAAACACAGAGACACGGATTCTGACATGTTGAGCAGACATTATTCAGACAATAATAAGGCAGGACACAAAAGTGTAGCACTTCAGTGACGAGGAAAGAAACTTTAAAGTTTTGAGAATTGAGATGATATTAGACTTGACTTTGTAAATCCTGACATATCTCTTTGCTACAGAGCTACTATTTTGTTAATCTGTGGTTAGTATCCCTGGACAGGTTATAATCAGCAGTTGCATGTTATTCACACTAAGCAGAGCTGAAAATGACTAATGGAACTGACTAATGGATTGAATTTGTCATATGCCTTCAACCTCATTTGCACTTGTTAATTACTTCAGGACTTCAGGAGAAATCATTTGTGGTTCAATTACACCTGAAGGGCTTTGTTTTGATGGTCCATCAAGATCACATGTGGTTTAGGACACTGAAAAGACACTCGAAAGGAACTGAAAGTAAGGAACACCCATTGTTTAATTCAGTGAATGTCACTTGGAATTGCAAACTATGCACGTTACAAAATATATACAGTCCATTCACTTTACAGTATATTCTATGAAGCGCTTCGAGACATCTCAAAGACGTGATAAGGCGCTATATCAAATGCAAGGATTATTACAAATATTACTACATTCCTTTTAAATTAAAATTGTAAACAAAACAGTACATTTTCACACAAACTTTACATTTTTTTAACCAAAAAAGACAAGTTGACCTTTTCATGGACTATCCCAATGGATATTGGTAGATAATCTTCCTCCTCTGTATCCCTGGATGTCTCCCAGCACCTTGGGACGTCCTCCCGATGTGATACTATACAAATGTAATTTTGTTGTTGTTGTTTGTAAACGCAATCTCTGCACTATGTTCAATTTATGTTCAATTTAGGGGAGGAAGTGCTTCTCTCAATGCTAAACAGTTACAGACAGATTATTTCTATCGGTGAGTCAGTAACAAGAGGAAATAGATATAAGATCGATAGAAGGAAAAGGGGAGAGAATAGATTTTATTTTGATGAAGGGCTAATAATAAACGTTTAACACAAATGAATATTGAAACCACGACCGCATTTAAAAGGAAATTGAATAAATGCTTGAAAGAAAATTTAATATTAAAGGTTATGGGAAATTAGCAGGGATTGTTGAGAATCTACTCTAAAGTAGATAGCTCCTGTGTGTGTGTGTGTGCGGTTGGGGGCCAGGATGTGGCAGGGGAGCTAAATGCCTCCTTCTGTGCTAAATATTCAAGGACTAATAGTAAATCCATGCTTTTGGTATAGCGCCTTATAGCCTAATCAAAATGTCTCAAAGTGCATGGCAGGATTTGCAGGCAAGTATTATAATCAGCCTCATATTCTCCTACGACTTTGCCTGCATTGATCATCCAGGTTTCACTTGGGAGCAGTGTGCTCAGGCAAAACACATCGTAACGTTAACATACAGAGCAACGCCTAGAGTCTGCTACTGAGCAAGCCATCCATAGGAGGCACTGCTCAATTATGAGCTTGAATGAAACAAGATAATCATTGTTACATTCCGAAATTAATCTGCTGTTTGCCATATATTGCCAATCTACATTTTAATCTTGTATTAGTTCTGAATTTCACAAAACACCACTTTAGTGAGACAACACTTACAAACCTCCAACATCAAATAATTTCATCCGATCCCCATTAATGTTAATCATCTATTGAGGAGATTTATAATAAAGAGACCAAATGCAATAGATAACTGCATTTTTAAAAAAACGACCAGCCCAATAGATTCAAATAAAAAATGCAAAGGAAATTCAGTTACAGGCTGCGGTGCGGGTTTAGGAGAGATCAGACACTAACTTCAGTAACAAGCTCAGCCAAGCTACCAATCGATGTATTGCAACCGTAAAGATTCCTTACTTTACATGCCTCGGTTTACCTTGCAGTAAGTAGGAACCCAGTTGTTAATCCACTGGTGCATCGCCTTCCGGGGGTAATAATCCCCTCCCCCCAAATAATGTGGTCACTGAATCCACGAATGTTTGTGGGCCACTACTGTGCGCAATTGGCTGTCGCATTTCACCCACAAAATACACGGTCCACTTTGCAGTAAATCCTCGTGAAGTGCTTTGAAACGTCTCAACGCTATATCAAATGCAAGGATTATGAGGATTAGAACTTCAATAACAAGCACATCCAAGCTACCAAATTTGTGTATTCGTGCAATCATAAAGCCAGACTGCGGTTTAAGCGAAAGTGGTTTCGCAGACGGTTCCGTTAGGAACACTTTTGCATTGGACCAGAGTTTGGCCGTGACTGGGACATTCCCTCTGCCTGGCTCTGGCCTCTGAGGTCCCCTTGGAAGTCCTGTAGGACAGCAACCTGGGCGTGGAAGAGTTCGTCTGAGTCTGAGCCTGAGGGTGGAGATGGAAAACAGAAGAGAATCTCTGCCTGTAGCTCTCCCTCATCCTCTGGGCTGACCTGTACAGGTTGCCAATGAAACAGTAACACAGGGGGTTGAGGGTGGAATTGGTGAGACCCAACCACTGGGCGAAAGGTCTGAGCTTAAGAACCCAAGCGTGGCCCTCACTGTCCTCTTGCACATTGGGCAGGTGGAAGTCAATCCAGATGTCGATGGTGTAGAGAGGCAGCCAGGACAGGGTGAAGAGCAGCACTAGGGCAACCACCATTTTGACTATCTTCTTGCGAGCCTTCTGCCTCTTGCCAGCCTCCTGGAAGCCCTGGTGGTTGCTCCACAGGCGTCGGCCGGTCAAGAGGCAGATGGTGAGGTTGAAGAGCACTGGGAAGCCATACAGGGAGCAGAAGAGCAAGAAGTTATAGCCTTGCCTCAGCTTGGCATAGGGCCAGCTCTCTGCACACACAGGGATGCTCAGCCCTTCCTCAGAGAGCACCAACAGCCTGGATTCATTCATGAAGATGAGAGGCGCACACAGCCCAGAGGACACAGTCCAGACTGTACAGATCATCCAGAAAATCCTTCTCCAAGTGAAGAAAGCCCTGGCGTTTAAGGGGTTGTGCACAGTGTAATAACGGTTGATGCTGATCACAGAGAGGCTCAAGACACTGGCAGAGACAGAAACCGCCTGGACAAATGGCACAGCTCTGCACATGAAGTCCCCCAACACCCAAACGTTGTAGACCTGGTGTTCCAGGGTGACTGGCATGCACACACACACCACCATCATGTCACAGATGGCCAGGTTGATCAACAGGCTCCTGGTGGCTGTGGCTCCTGCCAACCGGTTCCTCTTCTTCCTGGTCAGCACCCTCAGTGCCATGATGTTGCCCACCAGCCCTGCCACGAAGGACAGGGAGTAGATGACCTCCAGGGCGATGGTGGTGGGCTCTTGTCCAGAGAACAGCAAGTCGGCGTCCAGGTGGAGGGATTCCCAGGAGCTGAGGTTGTGGTGGGATGAGGAGGTCGCCTCCTCCAACAGGGTTTCAGTCCCGTTCATTCTTGATCGACCTACACCCCCAACCAGAAGCAGTTGGAAGTTCTCAAGTCATTGCCCAAAAGACTCTCGTGGCTGAAGGATAAGCCACAACACTTGCTTTGGACGGGAGCTTTGGGCTTGTGAGGCTCTCTATCTCGAGACAGATGTGGATGGAGTTCGATTGTTATATTTGTTAACAAAAAAAAACAGACAAGAAGTGGTCGAATCAACCCCCACCCACTCCCACTCCCACTCCCTCAACCCCTCCCGTTGGTATTTGTCTCGAAAATCAGGAACTTCTCAAAGCCAAAGCGTTGCTGAGAAAGAAATGCGACTTCTCCTCCTCCAACACTCACAGAGAGACTCACACACTCTCACACTCTTACACACTCACACACACACACTCTCACTCTCACTCACTCACTCACTCACTCACTCCACATCGTCTCCAGAGCATCAAAGACCTGGTTCCTCACTTGAGACAGAAAGAAGAGACGAAGAGAGTTCCTCCTCCTGATGTTGAAAGTTCCTCTCAACACAGAAGTGGCTCCAAAGAAACAGTGAGACAGGAGCAGCGGCTGATTACCCGGTGAGGACTGAGAGCAAACTGGTACCTGGGGACAGTGAGGCTGTGAGAGACAGATGAGGAGAGGTGTGTGTCTGAAGGGTGGAATAAGGTTTGGGTTCCTTATCTGGTAGGTGGCGATGGAGAGCACAGGCTGACATTCTGCAATACATGGGAATTAAATGTGAACCAAGCTTTATCCTTGATCAAGTGATCATGTCAATCTCCCCCCCCATCATCTCCCCCCATCCCCTCCCCATCATCATCATCATCATCTCCCCATTCCTTGACGTAGCTTCACATTGGTTCCTATTCGCTTCAGCTTTTCTTTTCTTCCCCAATCGCAGTGTTGTAGAGAAATCTAACGTTATTACAGAGAAATCGAAGGTATTGTTAAAGAGAAATCTAATGTTATTGGAGAGAAATCTAATGTCAAGGGGGGGGGGGGATGCAGAGTAATGGCTGATGAGGAATGTCATCAGGGACTTTAGGAAAACCTCTCTCGATGCTGTATTTCGAGGAGCTAACGTTGGCTTGGGTTTAGAGAGAGCAGTTGAGTCAGGCTCCACCACCGTTTAAGCGCTCTGAGGCGCTACCCTGCGTGGAGGGAGCTGGTTTAAAGTAAGTTGCTGCTGGTGCTGCAATCAGGAACCTCCAGGAAGCAGAATTATTAACAGTATCTCAAACTGGTCCATGTTGTTTTGCAGTTGTTAGAATTGCCATTGAATGGGTTGTTATTTAAAGCAAAGAGCATCACAGTGTGTTATTTTCTTATTCTCTCCCCCCCCCCCCCCCCCCTCACCCCCCCAGTAAAGTTGATCTATGTTAAGAGAGACTGAGTTTATTTCTCTCTTACACACACACACACACACACTATTTCTCACCCCCACCGCACATAGCAGCTCGAATCAGTATCTCCAAACAAATAAATAAATAGATAAAAATAAATACAAATAAATAAATGAATAAATCAAACAGTAAACGATGGAAAGTGTTTTGCAGAGAGAACTATATTCAAAGCATGTGGTGGTGGGAATGCCTTCTCCAGTCCCTTTGATCCTGAGTTCAGTATTTTAGCATTGCAGCTTTAAAGCTGGTATTTTAGTGACCAGACTATGGATTTTTTTCTCTTGGTAGGAAAAAAAGACTGTAGGTAGGAAAAGATCAGAGAAGGGGACCTTTTTTTTTAAATGTTGCATGACTGCTCTTTGCTGTGCAGAGCAATAAATATAAAAAATATAAATAAATATGTGTTCAAAATAGCAGCCAATCTTAAAAAAAGGAACGATTCGTTTCCATCAAAGCTGGTGGCAATCAGGTTCGTTGGAAATTTGAAGCACAGAAGCAAAACCGGTGGTGAGAGACAAATTCTAAATTGTCTCTTTGGTTGCAGCCCATCACCTCCTGCACTCACCAAATCCTGGAGCAATTTGTCCAGGATAGTTTTCTGGACAGTTGCGGTTGGTTCACAATCAAATAAAACCCCTAACGAGATTGCAACTCTAAAACAGAGGCATTTAGTCACTTTCAGCACAGGGTTAATGAGCAGAAACGCTTGTTCACATTTTCCCCTATAATGTCTCCTGTTTTTCTTTTGGGGACTGGAGGCACCTGTTAGATGATGGATAGATATTGAGGGGGTGGGGGTTGTGATAGTTCAGCTGAAGTAGATTCTCATCCTCATGAACCTGTCTATTTAATTGTTAAATGAAGCACATCAGATTTGCAAGGTGCTTGATGTCTGATCCTCAAGATGCTTTACCATTTGTCCTGCAAAGAAAAGTGCATGAGAGTGAGTGCATCCACTTTTTAGTTTACATGTGTTTTCCCTTCACCACCACCTCGAGAGTATTATTTGGAAAATTCCGCTTTTTTAAAAAAAAATGCAATACATATGGTTCAACATTGGGTTAAATATGGTTCAATGTCATCAAATAAATATGATTTAAATCTCTTTACTGTGAGTGAGCAGAGCAGGACATGATTTTACGTGAAGGGTTGTTATCCTGACTTGGAACTGTGGTTGAGGAAATTTTTTTATTGGCTTTTGAAAGGGAATTAGGTCATTATATGACCAAGATAAACTTATAAGGTGCGGGAAAAGGCAGTAGGGTTAGATAAGTAGAGTCAGTATGGGTAGAGGTGCGTAACAACAAATGGCAGAAAACTCTAGTGGGAGTAGTTTATAGACCCCCGAACAGCAGTCACAGTGTCTCTCAAGGTATAAATCGGGAAATTAGCAGAGCATGTAGTAAAGGAAAAACATTAATTGTGGGTGATTTTAATCTGCACATAGATTGGGACAACCAAATTGGGAAAAGTATGATAGAGGACGAGTTTATAGAATGTATTAGGGAGAATTATCTAGATCAGTATGCCAAGGAGCCACCAAGGGAACAGGCCATATTAGACCTTGTTTTGTGCAATGAAGCAGGACTGATCAGCAAACTGGAAATTGAGGCTCCTCGAGGGCAAAGGGATCATAATATGATGGAATTTAGCATTAACTTAGAGAGAAGTTAAGTCCGAAGCAAAGGTTTTAAATTTAAGTAGAGCCAATTTTGCTGGTATGAGAGAGGATTTAGCCAAAATAAACTGGGAAATTAGACTTAAGGATTTGACAGTAGACCAGCAATGGCAGACGTTTAAGGAGATAGTGCAAAATTCCCAGCGAGCACGTATTCCTTTGAGGAATAAGAATGCCACGGGAAAGGTGGCCCAACCGTGGCTAACTAGAGCAATTAGGGAAAGTATAAAGTTAAAGGAAGAAGCCTATAAAACAGCTGAGTGTAAACTCGGGGATTGGGAGAGCTTTAGGGATCAACAAAGGAGAACCAAAAAAGTGATTAAGAGGGAGAAAATGGAATATGAGAGCAAACTAGTGAAGAACATAAAGACAGACTGCAAGCGTTTTTATAAATATATAAAGAAGAGGCTGTCGAAGGTAAATGTGGGTCCGCTACAGGCAGAGACGGGGGGAATTATAGTAGGGGACAAAGACATGGCAGAGTCATTAAACAAGTACTTTGCTACTGTCTTCACCTTAGAAGACACTGAAAACCGAACAAGAATAGAGGGGAACCAAGAAGACAATGTTAGCGAGCAACTTGGGGGAATTAATATTAGTAAAGAAATGGTTTTAGTTAAATTATCAGGTCTTAAAACTGATAAATCTCCTGGACCTGATGGCCTACATCCTAGGGCTTTAAAAGAGGAGGCTACTGAGATACTGGATGGCTTGTCTTTGATCTTCCAAAATTCTCTGGATTCTGGAACGGTTCCCATTGATTGGAAGATTGCAAACGTAACACCACTATTTAAGAAGGGTGGGAGAGAAAAGATGGGGAACTATAGACCAGTTAGTCTGACATCAGTGGTAGGGAAAATTCTTGAGTCCTTAATTAAAGATGTCGTTATGGGATTCCTGGAAGACCATAACAAGATTAGGCAGTCAACATGGCTTTACAAAAGGGAAGTAATGCTTAACAAATCTTTTAGAGTTTTTTGAAGATGTATCGAGCAGGTTAGATAGGGGGGAACCAGTAGATGTAGTATATTTAGATTTTAAAAAGGCATTTGACAAAGTGCCACACAAAAGGCTATTGCTCAAGGTTAAGGCCCACCGGATTAATGGGAACACATTAGCATGGATTGAAGAGTGGCTAACGGGTAGAAAACAGAGAGTAGGGATAAACGGGTCATTCTCGAATTGGCAGGATGTGACTAGTGAGTAGCACAAGGATCAGTGCTGGGCCTCAGCTATTTACAATTTACATCAATGATCTTGACGAGGACATTGAATGTAACGTATCTAAATTTGCGGATGACACTAAAGTAGGTGGGAGAGTAAGCTCTGAGGATGATGCAAAAAGATTGCAACAGTATATAGATAGGCTGGGAGTGGGCGAGTAGGTGGCAGATGGTATTTAATGTGGGGAAGTGTGAAGTTATTCACCTCGGTAGAAAAACAGATTATTTTCTAGAGGGGGAGAGATTAGATAGTGCTAGTGTTCAGAGGGAATTGGGTGTCCTTGTACACCAGTCTCAAAAAGTTAGTTTGCAGGTGCTGCAGCAACTAAGAAGGTGAACGGCATGTTAACGTTCATTGCAAAAGGTTTAGAGAACAAGAGTAGGGAAGTTTTGCTGCAACTTTATAGGGCCTCGGTGAGACTGCACCTAGAGTATTGTGTGCAGTTTTGGTCGCCTAATTTAAAAAAGGACATACTTGCCCTAGAGGGGATGCAGCGTAGATTCACTCAGTTAGTTCCTGGGATGAGGGGACTGACCTATGAAGATAGGCTGAATAAACTAGGGCTGTATTCTCTAGAGTACAGAAGAATTAGGGGAGATCTTAATGAAACATGTAAGATTCTTAAAGGGCGGATAAAGTAGACACTGAGGGACTGTTTCCCCTGGTAGGAGGATCTATAACCAGGAGTCACAGTCTTAAAATTAA